GTCCTCCATTCAGGAGGGGCCTCGCCGAGTCTCAATCCTCGCTGTCAGGAGGGTCCTGCTCTGAGATGTTTGGCTATTTACATTTTTTAAAAGGCGTTGTATATATGTATTTATTGCGTCAAGTAGCCACAAGCTGAGTTTCAAGCGTCATCTTCAATAGGGTTCTAATTTTAGAATGTATGGCAGTTTAACCTTTGAGGTAATTTCTTGGAATCAAGGAATGTTGCATTTAGTCTCAAGGCCCACTTTCAGGATGTTTCAAGTGGTCTTTCAAGTGGCGTCTGAAGTGGTCATCGCGGCCACTTGAGATGAGGGCGATACGTGTTTACAATAGCGCAGCACTGGAAGGCGATGCATGAAAAAAAATATATCGTGAACCAATTTGCCTGGCTGGCTTTTCCTGGCCGCATCGCAGCCCAACATGTTAAGAGTCTCAGAGCTCATGATGACATGATCCGCCAACCCTGCTTCCAAAGCCAGGCAAGCGCTATCACAGGTGCCTTGTTCAATGTCGTATGCGAGGTGGTCAGGAGATGGCAGTACACCAACGAATGCTTGAATCCATCTGTATTGGAGTTTCCAGTATTGCCACCTCATATGAGTGCGAAGTTTCTCCCCTCGTACTCGAGTTCTCTTCCACGGTGAGGGCACACACGTTCATGGCATTTTCATGGAATTTGGAATTTTAACGGAATTTTAATGGGATTTGCCAAACATCCCAATGCTGGACCCTCCCTGATATTAGTATTGAGGCTCAGTGAGGATTTCCTGGATAAATAAGCCAGCAAGTATTACAGTTCACGTGTATGCATAACGGATATATACACATGACCTGCAGCTCATGATTGCAACACCAGGTTTAGACCATTCTGCTTGAATTCCCTAATATCTAACAATCGTAATTATCTTCAGCCCTTTGCTTATCCACTGCTGGGTGATAACCCCCCCCCCCCCCTCATGACCGTGTTGGTTTGGTTTATGATACTTCACCACGCTGGCGAGTGCAGGTTGATGGAGGAGGTGGTGGTGGAGGTGGGGACAGGACCGGTTCACATGTTTATCTCAGTATAGTCGAGGACTGTTTTGTTGTTTTTACTGCCTTGCCCAAGCTTGATAAATTTATTAATTCATTAATTTATCTTTAGTGACATGCTTATTCTTTTTCTCTATTTTACACTCCTGTGGTTTTTTTTGCATTATTTGTCGTTGTCGCTTGCTGACCCGCCCATACTCAACGTCTCTGAAGAAGAGCTTCGTAGCCCATCGGATTCCCTCCGTTCCAAAGAAAGATCTACGATTCTGATATCACTCGCCACTCACGTCAACCGTGGCCGGAAATAATCGAACTCGGAGAGCTTGGTTCGTAGGGCAGTGGGCAAACCGCCGCACCGAAACTGCCCCCGGTGACACTGCAGAGCCGATACTCAACACACTCACGTGTTCATTGACTCCGATAATTACACTGGTCAACAAAAACAAAAAAATTTGTTTTATGGCCTGGACTTTTGCAGCTGTTTTAGACTAATTTCAGGGTGCTGATTCCAAATCTGATCTCAGATTTGCTCTATCACATCTCATTGTTATGCTATCGGCATACCCCATTTTCATTGATTTTATCCGAAATTAACTCTGTCACTTATGATTGCAAGTTGTTGCGAGTCAGCGACTGCTTTAGTGTTAAAATATGGTGCTGTATTTTTAGGATAGTGTGTTTATAATATCATTTTATGTAGATATCCACATTTATTTAATATTTTTCGTCCGCAGTTTTATTGAAAATGCAATATTTGATATCTCAAAAACCTGATGTGATAGACAAAAACTGATGCCAGATTTGGAATCAGCACCCCAAAATTACATTTTAAACCGTTGGAATACCTTATGCCAGAAAAAGTGTGTTGACCAGTGTTATCGGCGGTAAAGAACAACAAAAACAACATCACACAAACGCACGCATGCGCGCGCGCAAACGTAAATTGTGAACGTAATTGCAACAAAAATACCCTGAGCGTTTAAGACAAAGTGCGGCGCCCCTTTCGCGGCGCGTAATTGCATGGCAGAGCCACACATTCTGAGAAGCGCCGCGTTTCCTTTCACGTTCGGGCCGAGAACGAGAGCTCGTTAATGAGCGCGCGTCCTGGCAGATGCACGTGACGAGCGTTTACCACGATCGATGGCGAATTTGCGCGGCCGCTTTCATTTTGCTGCAACTGCATCTGCTTTGCCCTCGCCGTGGCAACGTGGAATGTTTTCACCACCAAGATCACTCGTGGCTGCCCGAAAGAGACCGGCCGCCGGGCCATCGGTGTGAGCCAGGAAACGCAGTGACTTGTGACTGGGGTGGACCGACGGCCGTAATGTGCACGTCTTCATCCTACGGAGCGTGTTACTTCAATAACTCGCTGTTGTAGGTCTCAGTGCAACACCGCGGGGTGAACGGTTAGCACACTCGACAGAGGTCACCGACGCAACAGTTGGAACGATGGGCGTATTTAGTTAAATCCCCCAAGCCTCCGCTCGCCCAGCAGCAGTAGAGTAAGTGGGCTCACCACAGTTTGTCGATCGGCAGGTCCCGTGCGGTTGGAGGGGCTCTCTAAGGCTCCATCTAGCAGATGCCGTTCCGCCAACAGTGGCCGCGAGCGAGCAGTTGCAGGGCTGCGCCTTTACCTTCTCACAGATTTTTTTTTTTTGAGAATGTTTGTCACGAAGCGCTGGTTCACTTTTTTGCGTTGTCCCTTTGTTAGATGCGAAATACATTTCCACACCGTTTACAGAATAGCGTATTTGTTATTGCTGTTATCCGAAGGGCCCCATTACGTGCTGTGCGCTGCAGTTTGTTTGTAAGCAGTCACTTGTTTTGTTTCGGGAAATTTCATCTCTTTATTGATGCCAGCCCAGTTCACTTGGCTAAATGAGAGACACTGAGATAAAGGGAGACACAGGGAGCCGTGTAGACGCAAAGAGAGAGAGAGAGACATAGGGAGATGCAGGGATATATGCTGACCAACAGAGGCAGAGAGCAATAAGGAACCATTGGGAGGCAGACACAGGACGACAGAGAGGCAGGAAAACATGGAGAGAATGAAACAGATAGGCATAGACAGACACACATAGCGAAGCATCGACAGATGTAGGGATACATAGAGAAAGGCAGACACAGGAAGACACAGATCGATGAACGTGGATAAAGAGATACATTCATGGAAACAAGGACAAACATCGTGACAAACACATGCAATACACAAGGATAGAGAGATATTGATTGAGAGATACACAGCGGCAGAGAGAAACGGACCGCGAGATACAGAAACATAGAGAGAGAGAGGCAGAGAGACAGGAGACGAGAGAGAGAGATGCAAACGGAGAGGAAGCCAGCAACCGGGGCGGATGTCAGGTTCATCCGCCAGGCCCAGGAGCTCTGAGGGCGCAGATGAAACTTGGGGAATTGGGACGGCCAACCCTGCATCCCCCAGCCTGCACCTGGGAAAACCCGACTTCACCAGTGTCATTTAGAGATGGCGAGACAAACAAAGACAAAGATCCCCCCTTGTCGAGCCTGATAACATTATGTTGGGGCAAGTGCTGTTTGCGAGCGCCTATGAAGGCTGGCACCGCGCATGAGGGCGTGGGGTTACACACCGCACCAGCTACTCGCTTGAGGCACACACACGGCCACAGACCTCAGTTACAGGGATGGAAGACTAAGCCCACCCCAAACGGCATTTTAACTCCAATCGCGAGGCTTGCAATTGCGAGCCGAGCGTTTTCACCACAGTGAAGGTCAAAATGTAATCACAGCCACCGAAATCGATGCCGCTCCATCTCGCCATTGCAGCCTTCCTTCTGCTAGATTCCCTCCACTGTTGCACAGTTGCCTCCAGACCTCCAAGGACCACTCATCACCCTTACAGTCCCGCTGCTCTAGGCCTTCCCCTCTGGGTACCACTCCAGTGCCTGTCTCGGCAACCTGCCCTCCTCCTCCACCCTGGGCACGGGACCCACTCGTTGCGACCTCCCTCTACCTGTTGACACCCACGACACTCGTACGCTCCGATCTAACGAGCTCCCTATGCAGCTGTCTAAGACTTGCCACGTCGCGGCGCGATGCAAATTGCCGTTGTATTATGATCATTAGTAGCCGTATTGGCCGTGATCTGGGCGAATCTGCGGGAGTGCCCGGCGCGGCTCTTGACCGCGTCGCAGCCTTCACCGAGGAGGGAGGTGTGCGGCATCGGCGGCGTGTCATCCGCCAAACTGCGGTGCCATCTGCTCCGGCTGAAGCAAATGCCTTCTCTCTTCCATCGCAGTTAACACCACCGTCATGCTAAAGCAGCCGGCTACAGAGATCACTCCGAATAGCAAGTGTTATAGGAACGTGGGGGGGGGGGGGGGACGAGGGAGTTTTGAAGCAGAGCAGCACAAGGAACGAGAAGGGAAACTCCGTTTGAGTCAATCTGGTAGACACGAAGTCCTTGACATTGGTGGAGGTATCAAGGGGTGCGAGTTCACGAGAACGATGATCGTGGTTAGCAACTGTGACAGAGTGACGGGGAAGCGACTGATCAGTGGGCGCACAAATGGCATCGGTCAGACAGCTGCTTTTCGCGTCGCCTCATCGCAGACAAAAAGTCCGCTCTTATTCACGCAAACTCTGGTCATCCTCGCAGCGGCTTTTGGCAAGCCATCGAACAATTAGACGGTTACGGCATCGCACGCTTTCTGATGCGCTTCTGCGGCGGTCCGGAACGCTCTTTCTTCCGATGTTTGGAAGCCACACTGGAATTATGCACTTTTAAATCATCTAGATTGAAAACTAATTTCTTTAGAACTGCTCTTTGCGTTTAGTTTGTTGCCCCCCCCCGACCGCGCGTCCGATTAGCGCCGTTGCCTACGTACGGTGCAAAAGAAGCTCAACGTGCATCCAAACATTCATCCCTCGGTGTCTGCAGCAGCAGCAGCGGCAGCGGCGACAGCAGCAGCAGCAGCAGCGGCATAGTTACCCGCCGTCCGACGCGGTTGTTGTGCAGGCGGGTGCGCGCGTGGATGTCGCGGGACGTCTCGCGCGAGTCCAGAAAGTCACGCGAGAACTTCTCCCCGAACTCGAGGTCGTGGCTGCAGCCGCCCCACTCCCAGGTGTCGGGCGAGCCAGGCGCGTCGGCCGGCACGTGCGGCAAGACGCCGTTGGCGGCCGCCTTCCCCTGGCTCAGCATCTGCATCTTCAGCTTGATCAGTTTGACGCGGAACGCCTCCTCGTCGCCCTTGAGCTTCTCGTCGCAGCCGCACGTCTTGAGCTTGCCCAGGCTGCAGGCGCTCGCCACGGCGTGCATCACGCCCGCCGCCGCCAGCGCGTACGCGAACGCCGTCTCCCTGTAGCCTGGGCACGCAGACGTTGCCGGACGAGCGGGCGATTGAGCGGGGCGCGTCGCGACGCGCCGGTCAGAACGGTTGGCGCGGCCGCAGAATATACGCTCCGAATCGTCGTGCGCCGTTATCCTTTACGCCGGGTCATGCAATGGAGCGATACTCAAGCGGGAAAACGAGACCTAAGAGCAACACCAATTGAAATAAATGCTCACGCCGCTCATGGAGCAGTAACGTCAAATCCAAGGGCATAAGAATACATTATTTATAGAAAGCGTTTAATGAAACTTGTTTTCAAACAGGCGTAAAAAAATGAGACATGGTGGTAACTAACAACCACGATTACATTTTAAATAGAAGCTGAGTCGTGACGGAACACGGGGGCAGAGGAGGATCGGTCTGTTCCCAGACGCCAGCTGCTCATCAGAGGAATCACCGCGTGCCGATGATGTGCGGGGTGCACTGGGATATGGGTCAACTCGACATTTTACCCATGAGCCAGGACTGGCCCCAACTTGACTAGAGTTCAAATTTTCGCAACTCGCAGCTCTGAGTCAAATAACGATGTCATAGGCCCTGCGCTGCAAGCCACGCGTGACATTCCGATTCACATGGGACCTACTTAACCTTTGCGATTTTAAGACACACACACAGATGCACACTGTTTGGAAGAGGAAGAAGTAGAGCCATTATTCGATATGTGCTTCCTTGTTCAGTCCGGCATAGACAGTCATCGTCACTCTTTCAAACGTGGTTGTTGATAAACTTGACGGCCGTAGCCGTAACACCGCACGTGACGGTGAACACAAATAGTACGACGAGTCAAAGTGCCTCGCGTATGAGAAGATATGGCGAGCAGCAAGGAGAAGCGGCATCAGCAGAGACCGAAAGAGAACGCAAGTTCAGGCCGAGACCCATGGCTCAAGCTCGACATTATATCACTGCTTTTGCTCTTTCCCTCCCCACCTGCTCCCCTCCGTTCAACTCCACTTACTTCACCAGAATTCACTCGCGATGACACATTACCCCTATTTAGACCAGAGGACGCTATTTTCAATTTCAAATGACCCGTGTTGGTCGTCTGTGTTTGTTACTCCCACCTGTTAGTCTCGCAATCTATTATTATATTTTCCAAACGTCTTCCGCCATTTTCAATCTAATTCAATGTTGATTTGTTACACTCAAACAAAATCCCGTTTAGCCAGTTACCCAGCTAGCTTCAGTGGCTATGGCCCGCAGCCACTAACAACAGAGTTATTGTGGGGGTAGTGAGGAGCCCAGCCAGCAGCCAGCCAGGAAACTCGAGGCATAGATTCTTTATTATTATGATTATTATATCCACAGAGCCTCAATGAGTCTCCAGTCTGCAGTCTCCTTTCTGTAGGATCATGTATTGCACCTTTGAGTATTTTGCCTATAAAGGTACCCGAAGGACCCAAACAAAACCTCCACACAAAAACCAAGGAGATAACGCTCAAAAATGCATACAAAAATGTCAGCACCCTGCGTCGCTATCTGCTGGGTGCACCTCACTGCCCTTGCCGGTCCGTTTCTCACAGGCATCGTGATCTGCTCGTGAGCCGTCATCTCCGACTTCAAAGCGCTGGATGTAGAGGATGATGATGATGCCGATGATGATGATGAGATGGCGATTGCAGTATCACCATGTACTAAATTATCTTCTCTAACGAGCAAAAGTAGCGCGCTGGGAGTCGCCCTGCGATGTAGCATTTTGCGCGCAATCTAATCTCCGAGGGCGAATAAATAAACGAAGCCCCCTGGACAGGCATCAGTGCTAACAGCACTGGCACGACACTGTAACCCGGATAATTGTACATGGTGGAATTCAAAGAAAGGAAACATAAGGCGATGCCTTCACGCAGCCTCAATTTTGCTGCATTGGCCCTGAAACAGCTCCGGCCACTTCAATACGGGCGATGTTTATCTGTGCAGCGCAGTGTATTATGAACATAAACTCCGCATGCGTGTGTGTTTTTAATCATTGCCTAATATATTTATTTATTTGATCGAAGCACTTCTCTACAAACATTCATTCGCGGTTACCCGCACCGCGCCGTGACGTGGGAGGGGCACGCCTATGATCGAGGGACCTTTGGGGCCGGGGTTGGTGGACCACAAAGGGATGCCAAACGTGAGAGCGCGTTGAGGCAGTCCTGTCTGTCGTGTGTACGTCAATACATCGTATTACTTACGTTGGATCAGATTTGAAGGAAATCCTCCATGCACTTTCCCAAGCCTGGATTAGTCCAATGAAGTGATATTAACGGAGAAAAGGAAACCCACGGTCAAAAGCCGCCGCGTGCAAGTGTGTGAGCACTCACGCCGCGTGCCGCGTGGCCTCTCCGGGTATCTCTGTCTGGGCCCTCGGCCGTGCAAAACAAAAAAACGATCGACACAAGAATTGTGGTCAAACGTCGGAAATGCGGCACCCTCCTGAAGACGGCGTTCGGAGACTCGGTGGGGCCCGCCTGCCTTCGAGGGCCCCCTCGTGCCGCCCCAAACAAGGCCCCGCGTGTGACGGCGGCAGCTCCATCACCCCGGGAGGACAGCGTCCGTGGCACAAAGAACAAAAGGCCCCTCTCATCGGAGATGATCTTTAACGTCACTTGCTGGCTCTCGTCTGACATCCTCCTCCGCCTTGTCCCCCTCGCGCCCTCGGCTCCATCCCCCCCCTCCCCACCACCTCTAACCTCGACACTTGCTAGCTACCTTTTGCCCCAAGACCCACCCACCCACAAGTCATCCCGTCTACCCACCGTTCTCAACTCTGTATGATTCCACCCCCCACCACCACCAACAACAACCATCATTGCACCCCCACCCCCAGACCCCCCCCCCCTCCCCACAGCGCAAACGCATCCCTCTACTTATCAGTGCTGTCATTTTCCCCAAGAAGGGATGACTCATTGGATGGGGCGGCCGAACCGTTCCGGAATACAGACGCGGAGCAGCAAAGAGGCGCTTGTGTACAAAGAGCTTTTCATGAGCGCGGCGAATGCGACGTCGGCGTGAATTGTCGCGTTTGTAACTTTGTATGCAGAGGACGCGTGTGGTCGCTCTCTCGCTCGCTCACCCCGCTCGCTCACCCCGCTCGCTCTCCCCGCTCGCTCACCCCGCTCGCTCACCCCGCTCGCTCACCCCGCTCGCTCTCCCCTCTCCGTCTCGTCTCTTCTCTCGTCTCGTTCTCCTCTCGTTCACTCTTTCGCCGCCTCTAACTCTCTCTCTCTTTCTCTCCTCCCCTGCTCTCCTTTTTTTTACGATCAGTGGAAACAAGAAGATGCTCGGTGTAGTCGGAACTTTGCTTCGTTCATCATTTCGTAATTATTTTGTTTTACTTTGCTTCATGTAAAACCCCCACCTTTCGCTCACTCTCTCGCTCACTCTCTCGCTCACTCTCTCGCTCACTTTCTCCTTTGCTTGTATTGTTTTTATACATCTCATTTCACTCTCCTTTCTTCACATTTATTTGCCTCTCGCCTTTTCTATTGCTGCTGCTTCTTCTTCCAAACGTGACACCCTCCCCTACGTTCTCATCGCTCCCGACTTCTCCCGGCTGTCCGGTTTCTCTCTTCCTGCCATCTCTCATCTCGATGTATCCTCACGTATCCGACTCTACTGTTCCCCCCTCTCCACTACCCTCCTTCCATTCTCCCCCCCCCCCCTTCTCTCATCTTGCCCTCCCATCTCTCCGTTGTGCCATCGTAGTGAGTGAGAGAGGGGGGAGGGGGGTGAAAGAGAAAGGAGAGACCCCCCCCCATCCAACTCCTCATTTCATGCAAGCCTCGTGCAGTGTGCGTGCGCGTCCAAACGTGCGCCTCTTAAAAAACAACAACAACCCCACAACTCTCGCTCCTCCATCACCCCCCTCAACTCCCTCCTCTTCTCATCACCCCCCTCATCATACCCCCTCTCCCCTACCACCACCACCAGCACCACCACCCCACCCCACCGCCCCATTCCTCCTCCTGTACAACCACTTAGGACGAGGCAGATTCTATCTCACGCTTTGCGGCCGCAGTAAAACTCTCTCGCGCGCGCACCGCTCGCTCGTTCCCACACTGCTCGCCACGGGCAGCCATGGCAACTTCGAGCAAGAGATGCGATCTGCGCGCCGAGATTGCGATTCATTAGCTTGAGAACGATTCATTAGCTTGAGAACGATTCATTAGCTTGAGAACGCGACGCGGCACAAAAGCCACGGGCGGCGCAGGAGGAGGGCCGGCGGAGTGAGGGCTTCCGTTGCCCCCCTCCCCTCCCAGTCCCCCTTCTCCGTGGCCACCTCGAGACCTCCCCGACAAGAAGAAGAATAATTATTATTATTAAATAGCGATAATGACCCTGAGCGACCGTGACCTGCAGCCCCTTCGTGTGTTGTTGCCGGGGCGAGCTGTGTGGCCGCTGCTGCAACGGTTGGCGGAGGTGTGCGTGTGTGTGTGTCTACGTGTGTGTGTGTCTGCGTGTGTGTGTGTCTACGTGTGTGTCTGTCTACGTGTGCGTTTGTCTACGTGTGTGTGCGTTTGCGTGTGTGTGTGTCTGCGTGTGTGTTTGTCTACGTGTGCGTTTGTCTACGTGTGTGTGTGTCTGCGTGTGTGTCTGTCTACGTGTGTGTTTGTCTACGTGTGTGTCTGTCTACGCGTGTGTCTGTCTACGTGTGTGTCTGTCTACGTGTGTGTGTGTCTACGTGTGTGTTTGTCTACGTGTGTGTCTACTTGTGTGTTTATCTACGTGTGCGTTTGTCTACGTGTGCGTTTGTCTACGTGTGTGTTTGTCTACGTGTGTGTGTCCGCGTGTGTGTTTGTCTACGTGTGTGTGTGTCTGCGTGTGTGTTTGTCTACGTGTGTGTGTGTCTGCGTGTGTGTTTGTCTACGTGTGTGTGTTTCTCCGTGTGTGTTTGTCTACGTGTGTGTTTGTCGGCAAAAACCACCCTCTACCTCCTCGTGGTGCCGGACGGCAACGCTGTGCTGGGCAGTGCCGTGGGGGGGAGGGCCAATT